ATTTAATATCCTAATGGTTTTTGGCATAAAAGAAAAAATCAATCATTTTGACCCACACAATGTTTTTTGGGCTACTGCTAAAAATATACCCCAGCGACTTAAGACTGATTTTGTGCTCCAGGGTCACATATATTCTTTTAACTGAAGATTTGTGGATGTTTTTATTTGGAAAGTCTTTTGATTTATGATTAAAATGACCCTGATTTTGATTATTATCATGATTGATGGTAAACGTTTTCTGAAGAAGCACAGAAGAAAGACAAAATGAAAATCTCAAGGAGATTCACATGATGTACATTTTTGCTTTTTTTTTTAATTATTATTTTGTATTTCTGTTTGATTTTATCACATATCTACTCATATGATGTCACTGAGGTTTTTAGCAGGTGTTGAAAAAAATAAATTACAATAAGGACAGAGATCAGGTGGGGTGTTATAAAACAATAAAGCACATTTGATAAGCGAGAATAACTACCCGCCTTACTGCGTTATTTGTTCTTTGTGTTGCTTTGGGACTTTTGTTATACTTCCTGTTTGTCCACATGTTAGACTTAAGCGTAGAGGGGAGCGTGCATTTGCGGTGGCAGGGCCACGGCTTTGGAATACCCTGCCTTTAGAAATTAGAATGGCCCCTTCTCTGTCTGTTTTTAAGTCCCTGCTAAAAACCTATTTGTTTTCCCTAGTGTACTGATTACTGTTATACGGTCATTTTTAAACGGGTTGTTCTTATTTTTATCTGATTTGCTTTCTGTGTATGTTTTTATAATTTTCTCTTCTGTAAAGCACTTTGGTCAGCCTATTGGCTGTTGTAAATGTGCTATACAAATAAAATGAACTTGAACTTGAACTGTTTCCTGTGGCATGTTTGTAGTTCCCCCTGCTGACTAGTCTTCATTGTTCACGGTGTGTCTACTTCATTGGTTCTCTGTGTTCTTTTGTTCCTGGTCATTTTGTATTTGTTTTGTTTGTTTTATTAAATGCTCCTCACAGTTAGATCCTCGTCTCTGCTTGGCTTCACATGCTCAGCAATGGAAACATTACAGGCTAGAATAACCATCAGACTGAAGAGACATTTAAAGCACTAAACACTTTATCAAGACATTTAACACTTCAAATATCCCAGTGAACACTAAAGACACATGTGATTGTTACAGACGTATTTATTTCAGTAAGGTTCTTGGCTTATTCAGTTCATGCAAATATATACAGTACTGTTCATTTGAGTATTCTCACAAAAAAAGAGAAAAACTTAAAAAAGGTTATCAATATTTAGTAGTTTAATAGTTTAATAGAGGTTAATTGTTAAAATAAATCTATTATAGCTTTGCTTTTCTTGTTACAGCATTTTTTTTTTCACAAGTGTCAAACGTTTTTTCAGTGTACTGTAGATTTGCAGGTAGATCTTGTCACATTTCTTATAGTCACAAAATGTAACAGTGTCATTTTCTGAACTCTCACACATTCCTGCTGTCTCAATACACTGTCTAGTTCATCATCACTGTCAAGTACGTCAAGAATGCAAATCTTCCAGTGATGTCCTCACTCTCACCTGAAAGAGAGAAACAAAGGTCAAACATGTAGCCTTTTCATGAATTTGCCATTCAAATTTTATTCATATTGGTTTATAGGCATATCAGCATACATATTTGGTTTTGTGGGTGTCCTTTATGGTTATATTAATCAAATTTAACTTTGGCTCATATTTGTTGTATATCTATTCTTTTTCATTGTTGTCATGTTATTGTTTGTCTTCAGTTTGACATAATATTTATCGAACAAATACCTAAAAGCAGAGCATTTTGTATTGTATCGTTGTCGTATTGTGTTTCTGTCTTATATGGTTATAATGACACTAAAGCCTGTTCTCATAGTGATCAGACTGGTTCTCAAATACACAGACTCGTGGCATTTAGTTTGCGTGTCAGCTGATGTTTGATGTTTTACATTCACTAAGGCGTGGAGTTACTGTGGTGACACTCAGCTCCAGGATGCTGGTGATATAAACACTGTCACAACAAGTCAAAAAAATCCAACACCCATTTCTCTACCAAACTCTGCTGCTTATTGACTGATGTTTTAGGGAATTTAATGAATCAGATTTGGTAAAGGTTGTAAATAAATACATTTGAACACAACATGAAGAAACATAGGATAAGGGTGGTCAACCTATGAGGCCCTTTATTACAATGACTGAACAATTTGAGAAAACAAGGTGCCAATAATCCCACACATTTTAGGTTTCACATTCTCAGGCTAATTTATTTCACACATAATTGTCTCTTTCTGCCAATTAAAACTAAAGGAATAAGCCTCATCAGCAGGCCAGTCTTATGAAAAAAAAAATGTTTTGCAAAATGATCTCAAATTGCTTTTTGCATATATTGTGGCAGCTTGGAAATGAAATGTCTGATGAGTGTTGATAAAAGTTTAATGCTCTATTGAGATGGTTGGGAAAAGGGGGACGCAAACTCCTCATTAAGTTCTTATATTTCAAATAAAAGCATGGAGATATTTGTCTCAAATATGTTTCCTTCTGGAGAAAGGATCCAGTCATGGGAAGGAGAGAACAGAAAGAAGAGCAGGCAAATCAGCGCTGATGACACTTTTGTGAATGAACAGACGGCAGCATCATCAGCTCTTTCACAGTGTATTCAAGCTGACAAAACAAATGGCAACAGTGCTGGCAATATTGCATAATCGCCGACAAGGTTATGACCTCAGCTGTAAACAGTGTTGAGAGCACCTTCAGCACGTAATTCTTCTTGGGTTTAAGAATAACTTTACAATCATTCAGCAAGGATTCCATGTAAGCGCCAAAAGTAGACAGCACTTGAAAGTCCACCACTCACTTTACAGAAGTAATACACTGTCTTCAGCGAGAATGCTGGTAATTCAGCTGTCAGCAGTGACTCGAACAGAGGCTCTGCCAGAGATTTTACCAAAGCCAAGTCTGAAGTGAGCAGTGTGGAGGGGTGAAGGGGTTTAACCGGCCCGCTCCCCTCCGAAAGCTTATCAACAGGTGATTGATTTGTGAATGAAAAATCATAATAGCAGCCACATACACTAGAAGTGTAGAGGGTGCACAACTGCAAGAAACTGTAAGAATCTGTAAGAATGACAGTATGATTGACACGGGACAATTCACCTGGTCTTCAGCCTGCGTTCTACACAGTCCACAAACAGTTTACACTTATGGGCAATATTGGTGCCTGGTAGAGGGAGTCTGTGCCTCAGTGATTGTGTCTAACTCTTGCTGTGGCACAATCTCTGGCAGTGACGGGCTCCGCAGACCAGCCAGACATGCAGGTTCACCGGTTCTGGATCGTGGTGCCAGATTGTGTTGCATGCTTGAAGGACCCTTCTCAGCGGTATGGCCAAGAACTGGTCCAGAACTTTTTTTCCTAATTTGCTGAAATCCCCAAGCACCTCAAGTGATCAATCAGTTTTGGGCTGTTTATTTGAGTTTTTGAATATCTTCCAAATGAGGATAATCTGGCCAAGATCAGATAGTCCAAATAATTCAGTACATGCAATCTTAGAGGGGAAAACCATGTCCACATATTTCATACATTGTGTGTGAAGCTCATGACAGGCTGAAAGGCAGGACAATGAATTCGTATGCTGTGACTTCAAAAGTAAATTTCAGAAAGCACCTGTGATGAGGGGCTATCTGTATATGAAAGTAGTCAATGGGGCGAATTGTGAATTAACTGCAGTTTGTTGCTTGGCACTCAGACGAGGACCTTGCCACTTCATAAAGGGTTGTGCTTTGGCCACAAAGTCTTGGTTCTCACAGCTTCTCAGGTTCTCTGCGAGAGGCTGAGGTGGATCTAGATGCTTGTATTGACCCGAACAGTGAGCTGAAGTGGCGAGTGGTGAAGTTTTGTGTGAAGACAGCAGCTGACTTGTGACTTGAAGGAGAAACAATTTGAGGAAATGCCATTCATCGCCACCCTTTATATTAGTTGAGAACGCATCAGTTTCACTCGTTTGAACATCATTAGTCAGTGTGCTTCACTCTTCAGTAAGGAGTTTCTTCATAGCTACTGAATCTTGTAACAACAACCATGCAAAGAAGTCGTCAACAATACTGAAAATATGTTTTATGTAATCATGACACTGGCACTTGCAAAGGCGAGAAAATAAGCAACTGTGTGGGAACCTTTTATTTTTTGCTTTAAACGTCATGTTTTCAGAGCCAACGATTTATTTAACGAAATACAGGAGGAAAAATTGACTTTATATGAAAATATAGGTCTATGGGTATTTATAAATAATAATAATAAAAAAAAAAAACACAATAAAAAAAATTTGCTTTTTTTATGTTATAGCCTATAGCTACATAACATTATAGTTTGTGTTACATTACCTTATGTAAGCATACCTTATTTCTAATAAGGAGCTCTAAAATACTTTCATCAGAAAACAGGTTTACTTTTGAAAGGGTGTCTATGGAGAAACAGGCTTTTGTGGACGGCTTTTTGGAGTACTTCCAGCATCTACCAGCAGGGACTAACATTCTTTCTTCTGACTGCCTATCCCTATCCTGTTTTTTTTTGTATGTTTGTTTGCTTTTTGTCCCTCTTTTGGAAACTCGTAAAAACGCTATTGTTCATTTTTCTTTCTTTTGTTGTTGAAGCAAAAGGATACAACAAAAAATATTTGCGGTAGTCTCCCGTTCATTGATTTTATTTTGTATTTTTTTTAATCCCATGGCTCTATGACTGTGTTTCTAAAAATTAATCTAAATAAATCTAATTCATTTTGTAGAGAGAGAAATGAGAGAAAGAGAGAGAGAGAGAGAGAGAGAGAGAGATGCAAATTAAAATAAGGTGCTGTTAATCACATTGAGATCAAAAAGAGATGTATATGTCAAAGATGCAGTGTGAGAATGTTAACAAATGTTGAAAAGTACATGATTTACTGTGCACTCTCAGAAAAAAAAGGTACAAAAGCTATCACTGGTGTGGTACCTTTTCAAAAGGCACACCTTTGTACCTAAACAGTCCATATTTGTACCATAAAGATACAAATAAGTACCTAAAATGTACATATTAGTACCTAAAAAGTACAAAAGTCTACCTTTTGTAAAGGTACCACCCCAGTGACAGCTTTTGTACCTTTTTTTCTGAGAGTGTGTCAACTATGAAGGTCGATACAGTTCTTTTGCAATGAGGTGTGGGAAAAGTTGGTGGGATGTGAGCACTAATAGCAAACTGTTGATTGTTTTTTTCTCGTTCTACAGTTGGTAATGAAATTGGAGAGCTATCTGACCCTGCATAGACAGCAACGCAACTGAAATGTTCCCAGGTCCAGAAATGTAGTAAATACATCGGTAAAACAGTCCATGTGACATCAGTGGCTCAACTTCAGTTTTGCGAAGCTACGAGAATACTTTTTTTTTGCGCAAAGAAAACAAAATGAACATAATTTACTCAACCATTCTTCTCCCCCGAGTTACGTCTTCCGCCATTTTAGAGAATATTACAACGCATACGCACACTTTCCCCTAAGCATAAACAACACTGATTATGCAGAATACGTTGATGCGCGTGCTTTCTCTCCCGAACGTAAACAACGCTGATTATGCAGATTACGTTGATGCGCGCGCTTTCTCTCCCGAACGTAAACAACGCTGATTATGTCGATTACGCTCTTGGGTACTCTCCAAAATGGGGGAAGACATAACTCGGTGGAGAAGAATTGTTGAGTAAATTATTTTATGTTTGTTTAATTTGTGTTCCGAAGATGAACGAAGGTCGTACGGGTTTGGAAAGACATGAGGGTGAGTAATTAATGACAGAATTTTCATTTTTGGGTGAACTATCCCTTTAAATCCATGTCACATGCATAATGATAAACGGTGTGTTTGCTCTTTTTTTTAGATTGTTTCCCTGCTCCTGTGGTCACAGTTGAGGGTTTTGATGGAGGCTCGGCTGTCTTCCCATGTTGTATTAAGGGTCAAAATAAAATTCAAGATATGAATGTACACTGGAGAGACAGTAATGGCAAGACTGTGTATGATATAATTGGGGGCAATGGAAAAGTTGAAAACCAAGCTCTGGAGTACAAGAACAGAGTTCAATCAGAGAGAGGCAATTGCTCCATTAAATTAGACAAGCTTAAAAAAACTGATGAAGGAAATTACTATGGTTACATCACAGTGCCATTGAACATTCAAATAAACGTAGTGCTTCTTATCAAAGGTGTGTAAAATCTGGAGATTTTATGTGAAAATATTATATAATTTAAAAGTCTAAATTAAGTTGTTACAAATTTTGCCATTGTTGTTTGGTCTAACAGATAAACCAGGAGGAAGAGAGAAGCATGGAGGACAACATGGAGAACTAAGATCAATTGTCTCTTTTTGTCTCTTATTTTTCTTAACTGGCATATTGCTTTTTTTATTTGTAGCAATCAGTTATGGTGTTTCAAGGGTCATATTCAGGGCTGTTGCTAGAGTATTGGCCGCCCTAGTACTGCTTATTCCATCGAACCTCTCTGCAAATTTGCAGTCCGGCAGGGAGTGAGATGGTGTGGTTCCCCCTCCACAAAATCGCATGGATCCCACCTCTAGTTTGGGACCCTGATAATCGTCACCACCTTTTTCCCCATCAGTGCTGGCCCTAATTGTAATTGACCTCAGATTGTTTGATTTATTTTTCTTCTGTCACTGACAATCAACCAGTGTCGGACATAGTGTTGGAAGGATTTTTACTCCGTTACAGTACTTAATCCATTTTTCTAAATAATAATAATAATAATAAATAATAAATTCATCAAAATTAATGAAAACTAAACAAATTGTGTCCTTCGATCCATTTTAGAAGAACATGAAATCTAATTTTCCACAATCACTATCTAAACAATATCTGTAAAATCTAAATCTAAATTTACTAAAACAACCCAGCTGACGCCTGCTTACTCTGTAATCAGTCCATCCATTTCCTGCAGTTTGACCCATTCATTTCATCACAATTTTCATTCAAATAAGTGGGAAACATCCTGCTGACAGAGCGATTAGTCAATCACAGTGACATGACGACACTGCCACACTTCACATGACTTTACACAAGTATTTTTTCTGCCTCCTGTATCTATTTGTTTGTTTGCTGATTTATGTATTTGTTTGTTTGTTTTTTGTATAGTTATAAACTCAACTTTCAGCTGAAAACTTGTGTGACCACTATTCCCAAAGCATTTGAATTCAATTAAAATGAAATTAGATTCATATTCCACATATTTCATTCATGTCAATCATGGCCCAATTTTGCATTCACAGTGTTTGTAAATGCATGTCAGTTATGTTTGCTGTGTAATGTCAACCCTGATAATGAAATGGCTAAATATATCTTTCAAGGCCTCATTTTATTTTATTGGTGTTGCATTTAAGCAGATGTTTAAGATAATCAGTACAATCACCATATATGTGATGCAACCAGAGATCGATCCAAACATATTTGACTTGGACACCACGAATACTTGATTAACTGAACACTACACCAAAATGGAAGTTGCAAATATACAGAATTAAGTTTATACAATCAAAATGAACCAAATGAAAAGTTGGCTTCAAACTTTCATTTTCAATTTCTTTGGAGCAATTTACAAACGGATAATTGTCTCTCATTTTAATTTTAAATTTTACGAGTTTGGGTTGTTGCGTCCGAATCTGATTTTTGAACTAACATAAAAAATTACTCATTCTGATTTTCCACTTCTCTGTTTTGCGCTCCCGGTTGGACCGTACCAGTGGGGGGAGCTGGGGGTGGGGATGTGGATGTATTTACCCAGGGTGACCGTGATTTCACCAAGTACAACATGTTCCATTGTTGATCCTGTAACAACATTCCAATCAACCAATCAGAATTGAGGGATAACTTTTCAGGAAATGTCTGTTTTAG